TTATACACATCTAGATGTGTATAAGAGACAGCGTACTAGTCGGGCCGCCCGGGTCCCAGGTAGCCAGCCCGTGCGAGCACCAAGGAAGGTCCTAAAAAAAAATAATAATAATAATAATTAAAAAAAAATAATAATAATAAACTGAACAACTTTTGCGTTAAGGTCACATGCAACTTCTTCACCAAATTGGAAGTAAAAAATAAACTTTAAAAATATATTTTTTATTTTTATTTTTTTTGCCCGGCCGGGCAAGTGACCCCGGGCCACTATGGTGGCCTATAATTTTTATTTATTTATTTATTTATTTATTTATTTATTTATTTATTTATTTATTTATTTATTTATTTATTTTATTTTTTTTTTAACGAAGTTGTCATTGTACGCATGGGCTTGGGATTTGTATTGTATCGTGATATATAGTATTGTGAATTTTCGATAGACACTAAGGCGACGGAAGTAAAATTTATTTATTTATTTTGTTTTTCTGTTTCGGGATTCTCTGTATCGATATCAAAACATATTGTAGACATTGCTGTCGTTGTCATTCCATGGGACGAGGGAAATAGAGAAGAGATAATTTTGTTTTTCTCCGTTTTTCTGTTTCGGGATTCGCTATATCGATATCAGAGCACATCGTAGACATTGCTGTCATTGCCTCCATGGGACGAGGGAAATAAAGAAGAGAAGATTTGTCAAATCAAGTGCACGGGATAAGAGAAACAGATGGTCACTTGACGATCGGGCAAGGAAAATAGATGGCACGCAAAGCTACTGGCAAAAACATGCTTCATATTCTTTTTTTTTTGTATTTTTTTGTATTATGCGACCCCTTGGTTTTCTGCATTTTGCACTTCTAAGTGGGCCTTTCTTGCTTAGCACGATCGATTACGATAAGGAGCAACATGCATGCACCCCTCTGCATTTTGCATTTCTAACTGGACCTTTCTCGCTGACCACTATCAATTACGACAAGGGGCAACGTGGATGCACCCCTTTATTGTCAGACACTGCGTGGGTTTGTTTTCCTTACCTTTTTTCCCTCTTCCCGTCTTAAACATTGCCCCCCTGCTTGTCGGGTCTTTATTCTTTCCCCTATACATCTACGTCTTTGATCATATGTCGATAATCGTCGCGCTTTTTGCTCGTTATCCTTTCTTTTTCCTAACCTTTTTTTTTTTTTTTTTAATTACTTCTTTTTTAAAAATTTTATTAATTATTATTCTAAATTTTTATATCATGTGTGATTTAATACTCATCATACATACTATAAAAGGTTAGTATGCGAGCAAGAAAACCTGTGCGAAGATATGTGAGCAAAAAAAACTATGCGAGGACAAATCTCTATCAGTGTTCATCGTGCATACAATGGTATATACAAGTGTGCATGAGTGTGCATACAAGCGTGCATGCGAGTGTGCATACGAGTGTGTATATAAGCGTGCAAGAGCCCGAGCGTTGAGAAGCAGAAAGCAAAAAGGAGCAAAAAAACGAGCAAGAAAAAAAAGAGTATTGGGAAACAAGTAGAGATCGCCAGAGGCAAGAAGTAGCAGCGTGAAGTGAGAGACAAAAAAAAGACAAAAAGGAGACAAAAAGGAGACAAAAAAGAGACAAAAAACGGAGAGAGAAGAAGGTGAAAGGAAGAAAAGAGAAAAGAAAGGCGAAAAGGAGACTTTCGAGGGCCGTGTTGTTCGAAGGTGATTGGGAGTTCTGCTTGAAAGGAGGAAGAAGGGGAGAGAAATCATAGCGTGGGCAAAGAGAAAATAGAAAACGAAGAAGAGAGAAAAGAGAAATGAGAAAAGAGAAGCGGCGGGAGTGATCGAATCGACAATCATAAATTTTATGATTCTACATTTGGACTGTATTGACAAGCTATTTTGACGGTGATAACTGTCACGAAGGAGCAAAAGACAAAATTTGGTAAGTTTCAAATCCTATACAATTCTCACATTCAAAAGAAGGATAAAAAAAATTGCATACCTAGTTATAATGTGAAAATATTATCTGTTATTTTTATTTACATGTTACTATATATATAAAAAAAAACAAGGACAGAGATAAAAAATGGATTCGTCGTCGATGTTTGTTTTCTTCTCTACTTCAGCGATAATTTCTCTACCTCCTCCTCCTCTCTTCTAATAACAATAACATCGCATGAGAAAAAAAAACACACGACAATAACAACAACATCACACGAGAAAAAAATCCACAAAAACAAAACAAAACAAATGGCCAAACCCTTCAAAGAAAGTGCCCTCATCATCCTTCCTCTTCCTTCCTCCTATTCTTCTTCCTCCTCTTTCTGCCTAACTGCTCTTGTCGTCGTTGTTGTCATTGTTTTCAATTGCCCTTCTTGTTTCTTCGCCTTCTGACAACTCATTGTCATGAAGATGGAAAGACCCAGCATGCAGTCAGAGACATCGAAATGCTCTGGCAATTGCTCTTGATAGCCCGATGACAGGCTGCCGCTCCTTCGGTTTTTTCCTTTACCTTTGGCAAATCTTGCGCCTCGTACCCATAGAGCCCCCGCCCCTCTTAAACTCCCTGCCACCATCGCCCCCTTTTTTCCTCTCTCCACATCTGTCAACACGAGCGTTTTCTCAACTATTCCATTGATAGGCGACCCGGGCGTGTGCCTGTACGACAAGTCCGGATTGAAACTTGAAGTTGATGTCTGTCTCTTCAGATTCTTAAACCCACCTTTGGATTTATGTATCCTGTCGTCCATCACCGAGTGCTTAATGACAGGGAAGCACTTGGACAAAGCCACCAAAGAAGCCCTGTCCTTCAGCGATATTGGACCAGAAGACTCCGGGTGTTCTCCACGAAGTCTCGCTTTCATATCCTCCTCCATATCTGCGTCACCTCCTTCTCCCGCGCCGCCTGATCCGCCATGAACGTCCGGTCGCTTGTCGAAGAGCAGTGGCACTTCTCCTAACCCTGTGAATGGGAACATCTCTCCCACACTGAAATTGGTATTGTAGCCATCTTCCGGAAACCTCATTGCATCCCATGCGTCCCGCGCCGCCTGATCTGCCATGAACAACCGGTCGCTTGTCGAAGGGCAGTGGCACTTCTCCTAGCCCTGCGAATGGGAACATCTTTTCCACACTGAAATTGGTACTGTAGCCATCTTCCGTGAACCTCATTGCATCCCATGCGTCATCCCTGGTTATCGAAATTTCGAAGAGGTCATCGCTACTCTCTGACATCGTCCGAGAGAAATAGGGGGTAACGGGAGATTCGTTGCCAGCTATGGCTCCAAGTCTGCTAGTGGTCAGCGCTGCTCTCATAGCGTCAACAGCGGCGGCGCTCTCCACCCCATCGCCATTGGTGGCCCCATCGGCTGCCGAGGGGGCTTACCCATGCTTGCCGTCCTCTCCATCGTCATGGCAGAACGGCCAGGAACAGTAGGAGGAGGACTACGCCGCTCTGGCTCCTATTGACTAATTTTTGTTACCTCACCCGATTTCTACCCCCCTTTCTTCTTTTGCCCACCTCCCTTTCTTCTAACCCGACTCCTGGAAATTTCACCGATGCATCCCCCATCGCCAAACATACCTCAAAGAATGACGATGTTGGAGGAGAACGACCTGACAGAGGAGGAAGACAAGGAGAAGCTGCACAATCGAACGACACCTACTAGGTGATGATGGGCGGTGGCGGTCGGAAGCCACCCGTTGATCCTTACATCTGTATTGAAATCTTCCCATGCTCTAGCGAAAGATTTATTCTCATTTTGCATATTCGCAGAGTAGTAGTGCAACAAGGCCCCGGGACTCCGGTACAGAAAACTAAAAAAAAAAAAAAAAAAAAAAAAAAAAAACACGCGCCAAAATTAGCAGACAGAGAAGGATGGCGATGGCGGAGAAGAGGGATGATAAAAAACGAGGGCGATAATGATAGCGGTGCAGAAAAGTGATAGCGAGTTCAAACAACAACCAAGAGAGAGAAGCAGGGTGATGGCAGAGGAAGAGGGCGATTGCAAAGTAAGATTGCGGCCACAAGGATAACGAACAATATGTGAATTAGGCTGAGGGCGAGGGCGATGAGAAAGAAAGATGGCGATGGTGGAGAAGAGGGATGATGGAAAACGAGAGCGATGCCGATATGTGAATTATTTTTTAATACATGTCTAAGATATGTAGAATTATAATCTATTTGTTAAGTTATTCTATCTTTTATACAAAACGAGATTTCATTCAAATAACTACTGTTTTCTTCGTTTTATCTTTTATCTTTGTTAATTTCTACGTTTTTTTTTCATTGTGCTGCATGCAAAAAAAGAAACGATGACCATGGAAAAGTCGAATATCTTGTATTTTGTATGACTTATTTGTGAGTTAGTTTTGTTCTCATTTTTCCCGTCTTTTCTATGATTTTTTTTTTTTTTTTAACTTCTTTTCGTGCTTTCTATCGTTTTTTTTCCTTCGTATTTTTTTCTCCCTTAGTGGACGATTAGATATGATAAATTTGATCGAATATGATGGATTAGATTGAATTGTAATTAAGCATGATTTAGATGAAATTGATTAGATAAAAATCGATTGAGTGATCTAATTCTATGGATTGATTAGGTTTTGATAAATGTGATTGCATGATTGGTTGAATATGATGAAATGACTTAGATTACGATTATGCATGAT